TCGCAATATGATTTACTATTAAATCTAACCGCAACACGTTAACTGATGTTACAAAAACTGATTCTTCATCATCAGTAGCCTCAGCCACTCCTTCATTTGCAGAGCTGTTGTCATCAAAACCCTCCAATATCAAAGAAAAAGCTGCTCTGAACTAAACCTGTACCCCAGCTGCAGCACATTATGTTGCCATGACAACAAGGCAAATAAACACAATTCGGTATCATTTTTCCTGGGTTTGAGTATTGGAACGGTGAGACAACACTTTGACCAGGGGGTCGAAATGGAAATGACAACATTTCCCTCTATAATTTTATCCAGCGTACTGTTCTTCCAAATACGTCCAAAAATTACAACCTGAGGCAACGGTTCAGATAAAAGCATTATAATTTTTGACATTTTGACATCAATGTACTGCTAAAAACCCCCTGTAGTTAAAATCAAGTTTTTCACCTTGTCAACATGTCCATGTAGTGTTTTTTCTTTCGTATGCGAGAAGACACATCATTAGAGAAATAAGCAGTCAATGTCACGGCTGAGCATTTCCATTTTGAAACCGCAGTCTGCTGATGACAGACTCACAAATAAAGAGTTCTCGGTTTTCATATGCAACAAACCAAAGTAATCAATCCTGTCAGCTGGTGGAGGAGGACTTTCTGTGTCATTGTTCTTTGGAATCAGTTTCCTAATTGTTGAGTAACTTTGCAGTGTTTGAACAGAGTTGCAGGAGAGCCGATGTGCTCGGGCTGCAGCGAGCGTAGAGGTTTGGATGGAGAGAGATGCAGGGACTTCAAAGAGTTACATCTGAGCCACTTCAAGGCAGGAAAGGATTATATTTCAAGAGTTTTAAGGGGTTAAATCCACAACTAGAGAGAGACTTGAAGGAATCATCAGAGTTACTGGGAGTCATCCTGAGGGGTGCATTAATGTGTGCTCCAGATTTCACGGCAATCCATCCAATAGTTCTTGAGACATTTGATTCAAAAGCACAAACAAAACACAAATATCAATCTCAAAGTGGCACCAGAGGAGAAGCCAGGTGATTGGGTGAGGGCAGGAGGAGACTATTTTCATTGAAAAAACGACTAAATTTGAAACTTAAAATGAGTTTTTATGGGTTTCATCAATGGCCAGTTAGGGACTTAAAACAAAAACAGGAAACCATAAAGTTGAGTGTGTAAATGAAAAAAAAAAAACAAAGAAAAAAAGAAAGAATCACTCAGTATGCAACATAAACTTAATACAGCTGAGATTGATAAACTGATAAGAGCTGAGTAAACGTGAAGCAAATTACCCATCAAATTTACCTCCAGGGTATTTTTTTGCAGCTTTTGTTTGCCCCATATAGCCAAAGAAGTGTGTGCACATATGTCAGCTGGAGATCAATCCCAAAATATGCAAGTTATGTGTGTGTGGAGTATGCCTATTTGGGTAACTCCAATCGCAAAACTCCACAAGAACCTCAGGTATGTCTGTTAATTTCCTCATCTCGCTCCCTTTTCCTTACCCCTTGTATTTTGCACATTTACTGAGATAAGTGTGATTTCCTCACTCAAGCAGAGTCCACTTCATACCTCCACTAAAGCCTGATTTGCATTCTGTCTGAGCCCTTTGATGTTATACAGCTATGCCAGACAATCTCAATCTGAGGTGTCCAAAATGGCCACTGCACAGACGATAAATCCTTCTGATTCAGGCAACAACAGCATGACTTTTCCTCTGGCGTGGCAAACTTTACATTTCCCCCCCTGCTAGTAAGATCTAAGAATAGCGTAGTTGTCTATTTTTACTCCATCTCAATTTGTATTCCAGCATCTAATGAGCATTATAGCCTCTCACAGCTATTACCCCGGGACTCTTGTTTTGTGTCTAATGGAGTGTAAACATCAAACAAAACATCCCCGGAAAATTATTTTGAGGCCACATGTAGATATTAAAAAATTAGCAGGAGAGCATTTAAGAGCAGTGCTCCCCGTAAGCTGTTTGCTCAGACCTACTGTATACTGTATAGCTCTAGTATCAGCTCTCAAAGTGGGATCCAGGGACCGGCGGGGCCTTCAGGGACTTGCTGGGAGCCCCCAGAAAAATGAGCAGTTGTTTAGTTTCAGCGCTATTTTAAGATTTCAAGGATGTTTATTCTGCCTTTTTCACTCTCAGCCTGGTATGAGCACAGACCCGTACAATATATACACGCCTTTTCATGAGAACTGCTGCAGAAGAAGCATGTCATTTCTAATACGAAGTGGAAGTATATTAAGTGAAGGTAAATGCTGCACAGCAGGGCTGCATAATATATCACAGCGACACTGTGATGTGCACAATAGTCACAGCGCAGGAAGTGTAATGTTAAGTAAGACAAATTAACTCCACACAACACATCAGGATACAATGGCTTTTGTTGTCTGATACAAAAAAAGGAAACTTACACGGTTCTCGTTTTCTCTGAGTAATCTCCAAGAGATGTCTTTCTGATGAAACATAATTTACCCTCATTTAAGGGATGGTGGATATACGTTTTATAAACTGTAGTCACAAGACGTGGAGTGTGTTTGTGTGCACAGCAATAAGAGGGAAGAACATGAGAGAAACACTGAAAAGGACGATTTGGTTGCAACGAGAAAAGTCATTTGTATGGAAATATTTCAGCTACAGATTGGGTGATGTTGACCAAAACCTACATTAGGCAACATGACTAATTTGTTTAAGTATTTACAGTAAATCAGCACGACAAAGCTGTGTATGCAGTGCAAAGCCAGATCTGAATATTATCCAATTGTTTTGGATGCTTCTCCCAGTGCTATGAGAAAGACTCCAGACGTTGTTTTATTTTATCTTTTCTATGCAAGTGAACCTCTTACAAAATCACCCCAATCACTGCAGAAGGATTTATTCCTTTCATTTTTTTTCTTCAAATCATTTGGTTACAATTTCTGTTTTGCAGTAAAACGACCACGATGTCAGTTTTTTACAGGCAGCCCGACTGTAAAGCAACAAAAGTACATTTACTTAATGGGGCTGTACACATAAGCACAATTTTGAGGTACTACTTTAGGCTTTCCATTTTATGCCACTTTATACTTTCACTACACTGTAAATCAGACAGAAGTTTTTACTCTTGACTTAACACTTTGCTGCATATGAAGTTAATGTGTAGTTTGAAGCTACATATGAAGCTACAGTTTCGACCGAGCAAATGATAAGTTGATGAATATAAAGCACAATAGATTAAACTATCCATCAATTAATCCACTTTGCTAAGTGATGCAGCATTAAAATATTGATCACATGTGAGAGGGTTGTTCCAGGCTCAGATGGCCCTTTGCGGGATGACATTAAGCGATCATCTGCCCACATTAAAGGCAATGGGTCTGCATAAACCGTTCTCCACAGAAAGCTGTGCATTTTCCTGATAGACAAAAGCGTCTCTTTTCATTTATTATCATTCTGCTGCTGATGATTTTCCCTTTGACACTGGATGAAGCCTCCTTGGGGGGGGGGTGACAAAAAATTCCTCTTTGTGATCATCAAACCATATCGTGTATTTAAAACTTTATGAAAGAGGTTGTTCTGCATAATTGCTACCTGTACTTTTGCACGAGGGACTCACACTGGTAATGACTAGAATTTTACACTTTGTTATAGCCACTGTTACTGAAGTACAAAGTGAGGATTCTTCCACCACTATTATGAAAATCTCACACAGTAGCTTGTAGTATCAGTCATTAGTAATCCCTTGTCCTCTGAAACCTGACATAGCATATAAGCTGATTTGAAGGTATTGTGTTGGAGCTCTGTGGGTTTAGTGAGTCGACACCCCTGCTGAGTGTGACTGTGGAGCATCATGTCATATATGACAGCACCCTCCGCCCACACACACACACTCACACACACACACACACTCTGTCCGGCTGTGAGAGGAGAGCCAGGAGGAGGCAGGAGCAGGGATGTTGGGATGGGGTGTACAGCCAGGCGGAGGAGATCGAGGGGACGAGTCACATGCTCTGACTCACTCCGTCAGTGTCAAGTTATACGGCATTAAGAATAAGCTGCTGCAGTCACACGTTTCAAAATAAAACCGTTATCCGGGAGGACACGGTGCCACAGCTGATCCATTACCTCCACTCTCACTCACCACCGGACTGAGTGGCTCCACGCTGGATGGACGCTATGAGGACAGTTAAATACCAGAGGTGGTTCAGCTCGATTAGGCAGTAAAATACCTAATAACTAGAGAAATTACCTCGTAGATAGTTAGTTACTGGTGATAAACACGGTTTGTGTTGTGGGTTGGGGTTCGTTAATGAGGTTTAAACTCAGCAGAGAGGCTGAGACGACTTTGAATCAACTTCTTGGCATACTAGCCTAGCCGAGTAGCAGCTAGCAGCTAAACAAAATGCTGTCAACTGTTTTATTAGAGGCAAAGAAAAAAATAGAAAGGAAAAAGTGGATTTTTTTTAGTCATACGCTAAGTTGCGGTGCTTTTTAGTTAACACTTAATTTGTGAATCATGCTCAAAGTGAAATTTGTTGTACAAGCTATAGTACTGAGTCTGTTAGCTAGTAGCCCAGACAGCTAGCCTAAAACTAGCTACAAACTAGTTCTGCAGCGACATGAGTTTGTATCCAGTGGTGCAGGTTGTAAGACCGCTTTATGTGTAGCTTCCGGGGACAGACTGTGTTATTTTGAAGCTAAAATCCGACTATCTCCTGTCTGCCTCCCTGTGGTGGAGCTTGACGCAGCTCTCCCTCTCCCCGGTGCGCCTGAACTCCGGTACCTGACACCGCAGAGCGCGTCCAGCGGCTGAGGGGACGCAGACGCACGGGGGGACCGCCCGGTCCTATTTAACTTTACTTTTCCCGTTTATTAAAACTTGTGCGTCACACATCTGTTGATGTTTTTTTTTTTTTTTTTTTTTTTTTTTTCATCCCTCCGACTGACGGGCTGAGTTTGGATATCGGCAGGGGGGGAGGAGGAGGCAGAGGACCAGCGGGCTGCTCTCAGATGGAGCACCAGGGCTCCGGGAGCTCAGGGCGCACGGCGAACCCCGAGTGAAGTGACGCTGGTGGATGGACGCTGCTCCCCGGTGAGAACGTCAGGCAAAGTTTTGGCTTTTTTTGTGTTTGCTATTATGTACTTTTTTCTGTGCTCTCTTGTCCCGGGCAGTGCGCTGGGTAAAAAGCCCGTGGCACAATAGAAAATGTCCAGATCTAATGATGTCGCTCTTTGTCGATGGCGGTGTGTCTCCACAAAAAGGTACAAAAAATATATGGAACACAATATTCTCAGAGGCAGTTATAAAGTGGCCGTAGTTCTACAAAATAAGTTAGTGACCTTATAGCAGCACCTATATATGTATTTTTTATATCGTTTAATTTCACGGCAATGTTGAGACTTGTTTTGAGAAATTAGGTTTTAATTGATTCTGCTGGTTTTTTATGGTTTGGATTGATTGGACTGTTTTCGTTTGGCTGCTCAGAGACTAATGCTGGGTAATAATACAGGATCATAGATGTCGTCGATATATGTAGCTGGATGGCCTTCAGAAGGGATGCTTTTAACTGAACTGAGTAAAAACAAATGTTGTATTTAATGGAGATCTGCTCTTTGCTCTGGCTTGGTTACGCATGAGACACACACTGTTGTAAATTCTTGGTAAAGATTTCGGGCAATGTACGCAGTTTGAAATGACTGCACAGCAATAAATCTAAAACCGACTTAATGGCTTTCAGAGGTCTTATAGGAGTCTGAATATATTTTGTTCTGGTGACTGGTTGAGATTCATAAGGATGATTTAATTCACACATGGCCTGACTGTTAGCAGGGGAGGCTCATAACGAGTTTTTAAAGTGTTTTGAAAGGACTCATCAGCAGGTTTTTAACTGTGCAGAAGAATGGCTTCCTTTTTTTTTTTTTTCAGTGGTTAATTGATGTCCGCCCAACAGCCACAATTGAATCACAACAACAAAAAGCCTTAAATTGTGTGGCCCTAGACTCCTTAAACAGTCTAGGCTATGTGCCCATAGTGAATACACAGGAAAGAAGGATAAAGGCTGATTCAATCTCATTATTTTCATGAAACGCACACACACACACACAATCACACACACACAGATGCACTCCTCTCTAAGCTGTGAACTTGCATGCCAGCTCTCCTGTTGTCCTGTCACAGTGTAGGCAGACTATAGACTGTATATGCGTGCATGGACTCATGGCTGGCCCACACTACTGTTGTTCAGGTTCTTCTTTACGCTGTCCAAATAATTCAGCTATTGCCCCAACTAAATAGCAAATTGGTGGTTTTGGAATGATTTTGCCCGAATCTCTGGGGATCAATAAGCAACGGAATGAGCACACGGTGGACCAGTGGGCAGTGTTTGCTGTGTACTCGTGACAATGTGGACTGTGTCACATGCTCCAACTCCCATCTTTTCCTGCCAAACTCTCCCGCATACTGCCCAATAAAGCAGAAAATGTGATGAAATAAAAAAAACAGAAATCTGAAGCCAAGAAATGAATCTGCTCTTGTGATTACGTGCTTAATTAAAACCGAGATTATCATTCAATTTGACGTTTTCTACATGATATTCCAGTGCTCTAAGAATTTCAGTCAATACTCGTAAAAATTAACCACGGTCGGCTGTGGATCGACGGTGTCACATTTCATGAGATTTTATCTTAAATTATAGCTCTAGGAGAAACCATAACTCAGGGAGTTAAGTAACACTAATCATCAAGAGTGGAATTTTATTGTAAATGAAAAAAGAACCGACGATATCACTACCCAACACCACACATTATTATATGAGAGACTTCGGGTGTTTGTGTTTCAGCTCTGCACTCTCTGTTGTACATATTCGCTTTATAGTAATAAGAAATAGCCGTCTAAGCTACTCTATCTCTGTATGTCCAGATTGTTTAAACCCAGTCTGGATTAAAAGCATCAGCAGTAATGGCCTGTTGTCATCACAGAATTGTACAGCTGAAGGATTATTACGAGGAGGTCTAAGTGCTTCCTGTTGTCGGCCCTGTGTTTGCACCTTTGCCCGTGTCTATTATTTCACTCTGTTTAGGTTTATGCAGATTTATGTTTCCTGCAAAGGCTTTCTGGCTGCCTGTGTTTCTTCTTCCTGAGAAAGCTGAGAAAGAAATTTTTTTTTTCTATGCTTCATGAACAGGATGGCAGGCTTGACAGTCAGCGCAATCCCAGTTTGTTTTGGGCGCTGCAGTGCCAGCCACAAGGCAAAACAGCAGAAAACACACACAGAAACAAACACGCATGCCGCCGTATGTTGCAGTGTCCTGAACAGTGTGCCGGTGCCCCTGCGCCCTCTTCTAGGTTCAGGCTGTTCACAGCACGGCCATGACGGGCATCCAGGAGTCAGACCTGCATGAGCAGCACAGAGGACCAACGCAGGAGGAAGAGGATGAGGAGGAGGAGGGGGAGAAGGTGCATGTGTCAGTTGAAGCAGAGGAGAGGGAGCAGAAAGGTGGGGAGGACGAGGAGGAGGAGGAGGAGGAGGAAAAGGAAGAGCTGCCGTACCCCACTCTAGCACCAGTGGTTCTTTTGGCTCTGACCCAAACCAGCCCGCCCCGCTCCTGGTGCCTCCGAGCCGTCTGCCATCCATATCCTTCTCTGCTGGTAGTGCACCTGAAGCGCTGCGAGCATGCGTGCGTTTGTGCAAAATAACCGCATTTCTGTTCATAACGTGAGAGGGACATTGTCTGTTTGTGTTTCAGCTCTGTACTTTCTCAAAGCTGTTGTACATACAAGACACCTCGCGCCTCGATGTTTACTTTACGTTTAAACACAAGGGAGGTGGGAAGAAGGTCAGTTTGGTACATGTCCATGTGTGTGTGTGTGTGTGTGTGCACATGCGTATATGTGTGCTTGGAGGAACTCAGGTATTTCCTTGGACCCATTAGCTGCAGGAAAAGATGGCTAACATTTTTTTTCCTGATTGGAGGTTTCCATAGTGACAAGCTCTAATGAATCTCCAGGGTTACAGTCGCCTGTCAGTTGCATTGTTACCGGCCTCCGTTTATACAGTGGAAGGAGTCACAAATAGTAAAGACTCACGTCACCCTCCCAAACCTCGCTCTGCCTCCGTCTCCATCGTCTCACCTCCCGTCCCCCCTCCCCGTCTCTCGCTGTGTGCCTCACCCTTTATCCCGCTCTGCTGTAGACGTGAAGATGTGAAGTATAGGTGTGCAGTTATCAGCGCTGTAGTGTGTGTGAGCAGCTATGAATACTCCGAAGCGTGCATAAACGTCAGCAACACCTCAGGGATTTGTTGAGGCTCTCCAAATTGAATATTTTCCACAGCTTATGCCTCTATGTGCGCCTGCCTCTGTGTGAGCGTACGTGTGTTCCTCTGCCTGTGTGTCGTTGTGCGCTTGTCAGTGCACGTCGGCGATATTTGCCACCGTCAGCACTCTGTGTACTTCATAAAATCTAAATACATAATTGCTGAATAAATAAAATGTACACCAAGAGCAAATCAAGAGAGAAAAAAAAGCTACAAATGCCACGAACCCAGCTCTTCTGTATCCTGCTGGGCTGTAACCATGGTCGCATCTCAGAACACTGTACGCTCACTGTGTCAGCACTAACTTACAGGGCACACTTACAAACACACATTCACCATCATGCACACACACACACACACACACAGAGGCATGCACACACATAAGTGAGTAAATGCCCTCACACAAACGAGGGAATCTCCCATGGAGAGGCTCTTTAGAGGAATCACCTGGTTGCTTGGCAACAATGTAGCTCTGCCCCGACGGCCTGGTTACTTCCGCTTGCAGTATTTGTTTGTTGTCGTATTAGTTTGCGCGTCTGTCTGTCTTTCCCTCCGTTTGTGTGTCTGTGCGGCGCGGTTACTGGCTAGTGTCCCACCTTATGTTTATTCATGTATATTTCTTTGCAGTAAACTTAGAGTGTGTGCATGTGTCGGTGCATGTGTGTTACTGTGAGTGATCTGCGGGGGAAGCGGTGTGGGTGGACGTTGTTCGACAGGGACATTAATGTGAGCGCGCCGGGGGTGGAGGGGACAGTCCCCAAGAGCTGTGAGTTCCATTTTTCCTGAGGTGACCCCTCCCTCCTAGCCTTTTTTTGCACTCAGTACATATTACAAATTAATTTCCTTTCTCGTTGCTTCCATTTCCTCCCTCTCAGAGAGCCATCATGCTTCTTTTGTGCCATGTTTACAACATACCGTACATCTCCTCAACCTACAGCACATCTAACCAGGTTATTTGGAACACAAACAAGACTGGGTTTCGCTATTATATAACATTATCTTGTGCCCCTTCAAAACTGCGCTGATTTCTATTAATTCGTGTTTCTTTGGGAGGTGCCGTTGGTTGTGGAACAAGGTGCCTACTTTGTGAAGTGCTGAGCTTTCTGTGCGGCAGTCATCCCGCTCCTTTAATGTAACATGTAACACACGGAAAAACGCACGCATATGTGTGGCGGTGTGGGGGTTAGCGCACATACACGTGCACAGATACGCCACACACATACACACACACACGGGACATAACTTATTCAGCAGTGCATGAAACATTCAGAGCGTTTCCTTTTGTTTAAAGATGAGAAAAGCTGATTCTGTCACTCTTACACAAGTACCTTTCTTTGCTTGCCTTTCTTAATCTGCTCTCCCTTTCTTTTCTTTCTTACTTTTCATCGCTCTCTACTCAGTATCAATCCCCTGTTATTTATCCCTTTTTTTCCCTTTCATTTTTTTCTAAACGGTTCCTTAATTGGGTTGAGGTGTGCGTTTGTGTGTGTGCAAGGAGACAACGATGGATAGGAGGAGATCTTACTCAAAGTAGGGTGAGCTGTCAGAATCATTTCAGCCAATTAGCATGATTCCAGCGAGTGTTTCCATGGTTACCAGCTGTCACATTCACGGGGGGTGGAGTCAGTGGACTTGACAACTTGACTAACTTGGCCCCACTTCATTGCAGACTCTCTCTCCATCTCCTTAACACTAACGCACACACTTACTCACACACATACTGAACATGACAGACTTTGAGCTTAACTAGGTTATGTTTAATCAAGTCTGTGTGCCTGGATTCCAAAGTGAAAGTGTGAGGCCCGGGAGCAAAGAGAATGAAGCCAGCGAGCAGGTTGCTCATTCATACACATAGTAGTTCTTATCTGAGGATTCCCATTCCAGCCGTTTTTTTTTTTCTTTTCTTTTTTTTTTACAGTACCACATTCTAGTAAGCTATCCTTTGTAGGGCTCATAACCAATTTCTTTATTGAGAGTTAATAAAAAAAATCATAAATTTTCTCTGACATTTATAGATCAGTTGTAAGTCCAGAGTAAATTACTTGACTTAGCATAAAGACATCAATACTACTTACTCTGAATTGCATGATATCCCTGGTATGCAGACAAACACAGGAGAGAGTGGGGCACAACATGACACATTGTGGTTTTGGCTAAATAGTTAAATGAATCATGTTTTTGTACAAGCAACACACACGTCTCTGTTACACATGAACACTCAAAGTTTGTTTCTAGTGAAATGCTACAGCTTATCACAGTGGTGGTGGTATCGCAACAGGCACATCGTTAGTTGTAATACTTGCTAGAAAAGTCTGTTTGAACAGAATTACTCTATACAGTTCTAGCTACCGTGGCTATAAAAAAGTATGGAAGTTCTCTTGTACTATTATTCTTCAACATTGAATCAGGATCAATTTGATTTTTTTTTTTTGACAAGAATTTACAAATAACGACTCTTTCATGTCAAAGTGAAAACAATTTTTTTTTACAAATGAATGTCAATTAATTCTAATTGTAAAAGAAAAAAATTGTAATTGCGTAAATATTCACCCCCTTTAAAGTGACTCCCCTACTTTAACACAAGTACAGTCAATTGGTAGAGGTCACACAAGCAGTGAAATGGAGATTATCTGATTGCAGTGAATGCGTCTCAAGTATCTGTAGTCTAAAGATACCTGTCTCTGAAAGGTCCGGTCACTGGTGAATCAGGACTCCTGATTACACCATAGAGACAAAAGAACACTTCAAGCAACTCTGAGTCAAAGAAGAGACAAGTTACTGATGTCTTTCTTTGGAGTACAGTTAAATCCATGATTAAGAAATGTAGGAATATGGCACATCACAATTCTGCCAAGAGCAGCCTTCAAAAACCAAATGACCGTGCAACAAACAGACGAGTGAGGGACTCCAACGAAGGTGGTAAAAGCTTCAGCAGCTGAGATGAGCAAGTCTGTGCATAGAGCCACTGTTATTTGTTCCTGACCTGTCAAAGCCACTGATGGAAAAAGCTCATATTAAATCTCAAATTGAATTCTCCAGAAGTAATGTGGGAGGCTCTGAAGTCAGCTGGAAGAAGGTTCTTTGGTCTGATAAAACCAAATTTAAGCCTTTCCGTCATCAGACTAGGCACTATATTTAGTACACACCAAACACTGCACGTTATCACAAACTCATCATCTCCATGTTGAAGCATGGTGGTGGAAGCATCATTATGTGGGGACGCTTTTCGGCAGCAGGCCTTGAAAGGCTTGTAAAGGTAGAGGATAAAATGAATGCAGCAAATTATAAGGGAGTGCTGGAGGACAACCTCATGTTGTCTGTAAAAAGACTTGTTTTCTACAAAGAGAATGACCCAACGTATACGATCAAAGCTACACAGAAATAGTTTAAAGACAACAAGGTGAATGTTGTGGAGGGGCCAAGTCAGAGCCTATACCTTAATTCAAGTGAGAATGTGTTACTTGATTTGAATAGGGCTGTTCACTCATGAAACCTGTACAACCTGACAGAACCTGAGCAGTTTTACAAAGGAGAATGAGGTAAATTACATTAAGACCTGTCCACACAGGCCCAGTGCTGTACTTCTATTGGTGGTAGAGTGGGTTGTCCACTAATTATAAGGTTGGTGGTGCCATTCCCAGCCTCTCCATGTGTTGAAGTCACCTTAGACTCTTAACCAGAAGTTGCTGCTGATGCTGAGGTGAGCACTTGCAAGGCGAGTTTGATGCGTCTTGTGTGTGTGTGAATGAGAAACACACTGTAAGAACCCAGCTGAGGTTTAAAGGCACTATATGCAGACCATTTGCTATTTAATTGCAGCCAAAGGTGCATCTACTAAATGCTTATTTGTAGAGGGTTAACTTGGGCAGTCACTTACTTTACATTTTATATATTTAAACATGACGCTTCTGAAGACCTTGACATCATGAAGGTTTTGTCTGTTTTTGTACTCAGCAGGTTTTTTACGACTGCAGAAACTTGTGGGCCGTTTTAGTGTGGCCTGACCTTCTGTGTCAGTTTTGGCAGCAAGAACTGCCCCTATAGAACTTTATTCAAACGTGTTTTTGGGGGAGTAAAAACGTACATACTTATGCTTATCAAAATCTGTTGGATCTATTTCGATGTAGATTGGTTAAACTTGGAGAGGATGGCAAGTGCCATTTTTTTCTGCAGTCTTGATGTCTTCATTGAGCAGCAGTCCTCTCCTCTCTCTCTAACAATGTATAATTCACCATATAGGGTAACATAAACCATCCAATGTTCTATTCCCTACACGCTCACAGAACTGGAGTTATGTTTAGCAACTATTTGTCGTTGTTTTGGCACACTTATATTTAATGTTGTGGTCGAAGCTGTTGGATCCTACACTGCAATGGAAACAGAAAGGCACAGAGGGCCAATTATGGGGGTGTAGTGCTGGTCCCAAGTGGAAAGCCACTTAATGATAGCAGTCCTGTCCTGGCTGGACTTCTAAATAATAGTAAGCACTTTTTAATTTAATGTATTTGCTTTTGTTTCAGACACTCATCAGAAAGATATATAAATAAAACTTTGTCACAGGAAAGACACTTGTAAAAACAAGCACAGTCAACAGGATTTAAGAACATCCATGAAGTCCATGAATGAAACCTTCTTCACAAAGTCCATTTACTGTTTATTGAATGTATTTTTTCCCCATAGAGACTGTGCTTGATAGACCTGTTTACCATTGATTGAGAGGGTTTTTTCCCCTCAAAAACTGAATTTTCGAATAAGATATTTGATCTTAAACCAAAGCAAGTCTTAAAGTCTGGGGATCAGGACAGTGATAGGATGTGGGGGACATAACTGCATGTACCAAATTTCATGGCAGTTTAAACAGTTCTTCATATTTTTCTTAAAGTGATAGAAAACGTCAGAGGATTACCAAAGTCATAAGGACTCATCTTCTTAGGGACCATGATATCAGCATCAAATCTCATGGTCAGTCCATTCAACAGCTGTTGATATATTTCATCCTGGATCACGTTAGTAAATCCATTGACCAACCAACCGACAGTCCGTAGAGCCGCGCTGCAATTAAGGCTGAAAAAATGAACTATTGTTTCGTTAAGAAATTAATAAGGACATACAAAATTCCTCCTTTGTAATGAGCCCAGGGGTCTTATTAGTAAAAGGATTTTACAACGATTTATCAAGTATGCAGTAAGTAAATGTTAATAAGCTCTCAATAAAAGGGCTCCTCTCAGAGCTTTTCCAGAACTTATGTGGTGAAATGATCCACCGGGGAAGTCTCCTGATGAACTTAAGAGTTACGTACCAAGACAAAGCCAGTGTCCGGCTACTGTGGAGGAGGATGTACACCGGCCAAATGTATTTTTACTGCCAGGAAACTCAGGGGTATATATCCTTAATGGTGTATAACTGATACATAAAGCTGTAACTTGGAACTTCTAACCTTTTGTAAAGTGCGCCTCGTGAGACAAGAGGTACCACACTGGAAAATCGAAGGCCTTTCTGTCCCAGAGGATGATCCTTTTAAGTTAATGAACGTCTCACATGAAAGTGTTCCCTCACGCTGGACTTAGCATGTGTATCTCAGCCAAGGGTGGAGGATGATGCCAGAAAGATCAGGGTGATGTCGATCCGATGTGATTTATAATGTCTGCCTGACCTTTATTACCTGTGTTGGCACTCGAGGAGAGAGAGTATAAGAGAAGGAGAGCAGATGAGAGGAGAACGTGGAGGGGAGGTTCTCTCGGAGAGGGTGGCAGAACGTGAAAATGAGAGGATGAGGCAATTTGAGCGAGGAGACAAAGCGTGGAGGCAACGCAACATTTGCAGTTGTTTGCACTTTAAAGCTTCAGTCGTCAGGGTCTGTATCAGCCTTCTGTTCAGCCGTGTTTTTTTTTTCTTCACCGCATCTTTAATTGCCCCCTCTTTCTTGCCCCCCTCTTCCCCCTACTGTATCTATATCGCTGTATGTCTCACCCTGTCCGTCTCTCTGCCGCTCCATCTCTCCGACGATGTTAATTATTAAGTGTAGTTGTAGTTTATCTGTTGGCTGAGACTCAGGTTTCTGACGGAGACTAGAACTCTACCCAAGGGCAGTCATATGTGGAGAGGGTAGAAAGAGACGGGGAGGGCGCGGAGCAAAGGCGTTTCAGAGAGACGGGAGAGCGTATGTGCACAGGAGTGGATGGAAAGGCATAAAAGATATGCAAGAAGTGATATGGAATAAAGATGGGAAATTATTCCGATCTATATAAAGGAAGAGGGAGAGACAGAGCAGGAGGAGCAAAGCGTAGAGAAAAAATAATTGGGCCAAAGAGACGGAAAAAAGGCTGTAGAGGAAAATGAGAGATGATGGAGAGAAAGGTTGAGTGTGAGAGGAGATAAAGGAAAAGCAGTGGAGGGAGTGAAACAGAGGAAAGGACGTTCCCTCTGTGTTTCGTTGCTGATGTTGAATGATGTGCCAACTGTAGAAATACTCCCATCTCATCCATCACTCACACCTTGACCCTGCCCCGCTCCTTGTTTAATGCACGCCTGTGTCTATGTGTAGGGGAGAGTGTGTGTTTCATAGACACACAGGGCTATTTAAGCTGCTGTAACTTATACAGATGAACCAGGATTAAAACGACCCTCCTCAGCTCGGGGGGAACGGAGGATGCTTCAGCAGGAGTTGTGCTGAAGGACGCCGTTTTCTATTGTGTGTGCGTGCATTTAGTTTGTGTGTGTGTGTATTAATTGTGTTGTGTTCCAGTCCAGACAGGATGCAAGCGGATTGTGAAACTCAGAAGTCAGTTCCCACGGTGAGATGGGGGTTCCCATGGCAACCATAGCAAAGGGAGGACACTGGATTACCCTCGCTCTCCCTCTCCTTCTCTCGTTTCTCTCTCTCTCTCTCTCTCTCTCTGTCTCAAGGGTGATAAAGGATTGTACTCTCATTAATTTTTCCGCCCTCTCGAGAGCAAAGTGTCCGGGAAGGGGACTCTGCGTGTGCGCCTGTGTGAGTGTGCACATGTGTCAGTGTGTATGCGTCCATGTGCATGCTCGAGGCTTTGTTATATATGCGTCCTTGGATCTTGAATACATTCTTGTCATCCATTCAGCAGTTTTCACATTTGCACTCGATTGTGTGTATGCGTCTGCGTGTATGTGTGTGTGTGTCCGTGTTTGTACAAATCCAGCACAATCTTTCCTTTAACTTTCTACTTCAGACTATTTTCTCTTTTAAAACCTCTCCGCGTTTCACTTCTGATTCATGCTCCTTTTTGCGGTTTGACAGCCAGCAAGCAACACAGATGCTCAAACACACACCGTACACAAGTTTTACACTTAAACTGGCTTCAAATGTCGTACTAACTGTTTCGTGGTAGCTGTCTGGCTTTTGTAGCTGTGAATATTAAACATGTCAAATTGTCTCGTCAGAGGTTGTGCTTATAAACGAAGGTTGACACATTTAAGCTTATTATTGCAAGTTTCTACTCTCATAAAAGTTGTTTTCCAGCTTAGTACATTCAGTTCTGTGCTTGTAATTTTGATTTGACGCTGTGAAGCAGACAAGTCATGTACATGTAACCCTTAGACAGATGTTTTGCAAGTTGGTAATGTTTTGTACACCACAACACAGACATCGCTAGACCTTTAACTTCACCAGTCAGTTATCTTGGGGTTTCCTCTAGGTTGCTACAGGCATTACCATTGGTGGGATACTTTAGGGGGACAGACTGAAGGAAAAACTTAAATAAATGAGTGGAGAGAGATAATGAATGCAGATGATTCCACACAGGGCACGAGAGGTCACCGAATGGCATGATGAGTATGAAAATGATGTGAATAATATGCTGTGGCCTTCGCAGTCATCAGATCTTAATGGGAGACATGTTTAACAGCCCTCTCTACCACCATAATCAAAACACTAAATGAGCTAATACCTTTTGGAAGAATGTTGTTTATCAGTCGAGTTCCAGAGCCTTAAGATTTAAGTCTATGTCAAGTAGCACTGAAGCTGCTCTGGCAGCGTGTGATGTTTCAGCAATTTACTGAGACACTTTATGTTGCTTTTTTCTTTAAGCTGTCACCCATCTGCAATTCCATTAATCTTAACACTCAGTCGGTTCCATAGACTCAGGACCTTTACTTCTGATGGTTTGTTTAAAGCTTGGATTTAAGTTTACTGCTTACCAACATCTTGAGACATCCAAGAGCCAGAATGTTTCATTTCAGAAGAGCGGAGGTCACCTGAGGTGGAAGCTGAGTGGCAAGAGTAAACGTGCATTATGATTCACTGGGACTGCTGTCAGTCAAACTATTGCGCAAAAGCTTAGACGCACAGCTTTGTGAAATGTTTATCTAATAACTGCTCAGACTCTGCTGTTGTGTTGACCCTTAACCTTTTGCCACGTGGTTTGAGCGTGTGAGCATCTTGGCCATCCTGCTGAACTGTGTGACTCTTGGGATGTTCCAGCCCTGTGACCACACCCCCTTCCTGCTGCAGGTAAACCCCCCCAACACACACACACACGCGCACACGCACACACACAATCTGAAATTACAAACTAATTATGTTCAGCTGTGAGACTTTATTATCAAGGGTCTGAAAAGTTTTTGCCTTAATTTTTCTTCCACTTAATCAGTTTAATCCTCTGGGTATGCGTGTGTGTCCATGTGTGTGTGTGTGTGTGTGTGTGTGTGTGTGTGTGTGTGTGTGTGCGCGTGTGCAGGCTCTGGATGATGGCATCTTTGTGTTTTTTGCGGGAGAAATGGTGGTGAAGATGGTGGCGCTCGGGGTCATAGGTCAGAGCGGTTACCTAGGCGACACATGGAACAGATTGGATTTCTTCATTGTTATAGTGGGGTGAGTGTTTGACAGACATACACACCCACATGCACTCATACACACACGCATCTGACATTAAATATGAGCCAAAAGTGTGTGTGCGTGTGTGTGTTTTGTGTAAAGCTTAGACACTTGTTTAATGCCAGTTAAATGTCAAGCGTGTGTGTGCGCGTGCTTGGACGCACCAGCAGAAGTGTGTGTGTGCGCGTGTGTGTGTGTGTCTGTGTGTGTGTGCATGTGTGTTTGTGTGATAGCCTCACAGAATGACAATCGCATCATTCGGTCCTGAGAGACTCAGACCTCGGTGATTGGTAGTTAAAAGGCTATGTATCCCAGAGACGCCGTTCTGCTGGATTCCCTGTAGACGTACAGGGTTTGCCAAGGTCAGGCTGATCAGGATGCCAGTGACACAGCGGTGGCTTTCCCTCTCCGCAGAATGCTGGAGTACTCACTGGATGGACACAACGTCAGTCTATCCGCCATCCGGACAGTTCGGGTTCTCCGCCCACTGCGAGCCATCAACAGAGTTCCCAGTGAGTTTTTCTCTTCTTCTTTTTTTTTTTTCCCTCCGACGTGCAGCTCACTCATAAATTATTAGGACAGTTATTTGATTATCTTTCATTGTTTGGACTCAGCACAATGGACTGTGAATGAAACAGTCACTGTGAGGTTGGCTTAAAGTGCTGACTTCAACTTTTAAAGTGTGCTCACGTCCAGAACAGTGCAGAACTCTCCTGACTTTAGGGCCAAAGATCAGGAAAGATGAAGGGGGAGGGCAATCGAGGTTTATAATGTTGTTGACTTAACAAATCACTGACCTGACTGAAATCCAACTGGTGTGTATTAAGCTTGTTGAAGACCACATTGAAGGCACAGAGCCCTGAAACTAGCAAGAAGTGAAGGTGGCTGCAGTACAGGCCTGGAAAAGCATCAGCAGGAAAGATACCAAGTGTCTGCTGATGTCTGTGGGCTGCAGACTTCAGAAAGCCACTGACTGAACAAAATATGAAATATGATGATGGTGCAAGGCTTACCTATGTGTATGATGACTTGTGCAATCAACTTTCTGTCTCCATTAACTGGACCATGTATAAGAAGGGCTACAACTCCTGCACTGTTCTTCTGACGTGGATACACTCTCAGCTGAAAGTCAGCAACCTCATTAGTCACAGCCAAGACAGTGAAAAATGTGTCACTGCCCTTGCACTCTCTGACTACACCGTAAATTCTTTTCCATTTCTTTAACTTCCCAAGCTATGCATGTGTTAACAACTGCACTTCTCCTTTTGATGGATGCCTGTGTAAACAAATCGGGACACAGCGAACAAAGTCATGGGAATCATTGCGATGCTTGTGTTGTTACTAACGGGTCACCAACAAAGTGGCCGGCCAACTTTATGTTTTATCTACTACAAACTGTGACCTTGGCACAAGTCGGACTGAGTTCTCATAAAATTTGAGAGTGTGTTTGAAGTACCCAGAAGTCTGGAAGCGGCAAGGAGGAGAATTTTGTACGTGTGCTCTTCAAGAGAAAGGAGAGGAGGCCAATTATCAGCGTTTGAACTCTGATTATTTGCCATTCAGCTAATTGCACTACTTCAGAGATTTCCAGTGGCTGGCCAGAATTTCCCGTAACAGACAATTTCCTCAAGTTTAGGTTTATTTACATGCAGGTCTCTGCTTGTTTGAGTGTCTTGTTTTGATATTTATGCTGTATTTGTGTGTGTGTTTGTGTTTTGGTAGGTATGCGTATCCTGGTGACTCTCCTACTAGACACACTTCCTATGCTGGGCAACGTCTTGGCGCTGTGCTTCTTTGTGTTCTTCATCTTTGGCATTGTTGGCGTACAGCTGTGGGCGGGGCTACTGAGGAACCGCTGTTTCATGGGAGATGATGTCAAGATGTGAGTTACTATAGTAACAGGCACATGTCACAACTAGGGATGTCCTGGCCTCATTACTCCGAATCCAGTGTCAGAAGTTTGCTCGCAACTGATTAGCTTCTTTCACCCAGCTATTATTTCTAAGTGGCGATCGATTGCACACATCGTCTGATCTTGTTTGTTCTCTAATCAGCTCCGTCTGGGAGGCAGTAAATGTGTAAATGCGTCTCCTGCCGGACCCTTTAAGCATCAGAGATCACAAATCAAGGGATTAGGAAGGCTAAATGAATTTCGTGTGTCGTTTTTCTTGGGTTGCCTCTCGCTGGCTGTTGCCACAGAAAACCTTTTGAATTTTACTCCTATTTATTCCCATATTATGCTTCCTGTCATGCTCCATCACTGTCTCTCTCACTCCTGTTCACATGTTCACAAACTGGTCACGTAATATTACCCAACATCACATAACATCATTTTTTACCCCCTGACCTCACATCTGCTCATCTGACCCACTTAGACAATAATCACTGACAGTGCTGTGGTGGCATGCTGTTGCTCTACTTGGAGTAGGCAGATACAACTAATGAGTGTGTTTTTTAATGAGTTGCTGTTAAACCTGTAAACCTTCAAATACTAACAATAGGAAACTTTATTTCTATGGCAGCTTTTAAAACACAGCTACAGAGTGCTTTATAGAAAAAATGCAAACAAATTAAACAAGTAATTCTCTGGTCAGTTTACTATACATTCAGCCGCAGCATCAGAAAAAACTGACAAATGACCTTTAAAAGCAAAAACTTTTTTATTCTTTAAGTCCGTCACACGCGACGGCTGTATGAGGAAGAGCAATACGATATTGTTATTTGCTTTTTCCTGACCCTCTTGTGGTTGTATTAACCCGCTGCATGGTAGCCGATATTTCTTTACTTAAAACTAACCCCTCTCTAGATTTTATGTTCAGTGTAGCAATTTGGATTTTTTTCTGCTTCATAAACAACAAAATGACCTTCCCTAATAAGAAGTGAGGCAGCAGCGCTCCCCTGCGACCCCTTTCTACAGCACAGATGATTGATTGCTTATCTCTCTGCTGCACCCTCCCTCTCTTTTATTCTTTTCCCTTCATCTGTATTTCTCTTTCTGTTTCCTCATTTCCTCCTTTAACACCCTTGTGTATTTCATACCATCTTTCAGGGTTTTTTTTTTTTTTCTGTTCATAAAACAGACCTTTAGAGCAAACAAAAGGTCAATAAAATGATTTATCTGTCTGAAAATCATTCAGACTTCACTTGATTTTGTCCACTCTTTGTATTTTAGGTCCATTCCACATTTTGACTATTAAATACTTCAGACTTTTGAGTTCTTCCTGTTAATAAGTGTATAGGTCCATGTGGACAAAGCTTTATACAACCTATTTCTTTGTCCCACTGTCCAAAATTCTTTTAATGAAATTAAAAAAACATTAATCAGCCATAATGGGTGACATACTCCTTCGCACACATTATCCTCTGTTCATAAATACCCACTAGCACATTAAATATCCATTAATCGGCAGCTGAAAATAGTCCCCAAGAAATGCAGTATTACATTACATGATCTAAAGACTACAGTACCATATATTTTTGTGAACAAATTGCCATGGAGCCAAGTGCCACAAACTGGACAGAAATGAAATCATGAACCATGAAAGCATGGAGAAACAGACCATCACATTGTTGGTTTTTGTCGTTTCATGGAGCTTATGACAATAAACAAGCATACAGGTGATTTTGCTTCCTCTTTCAGGAGCAAATGCAGTTGTTAATTTTGGTTAAAGCTGAGCTCGTACAAATATTAACAAGTCCACGGTAACAGCAGCGTGTGTTGGTGACTGTTTCTCAGGAGGGCTGGGTTTGAATCATGGCTGAAGCTCCAAATGAATGTTGACTTTTTGCCTTAAATATCTTTGCATGTTTAAAGCAACCTGCAGGAGGAGGGCTGTTAATTTTCCTATTCTGACATTCTTTTCCAATTTCTGCCTACTACAGCTTTAACCGCGTAATATATAAAAACAAACAAACAAAAATGTTTATTTACTTTTTACGTTTCTTCTCCAGGAAATATAACATTTCCTTCCTGAACGGCTATTATCGGCCTGATGGCACAGAGGACCACCCCTTCATCTGTTCAACTGAAAGAGAAAATGGGATGCTTCGGTGCTCCGATGTGCCTCGCCGCCGTGTGGGCGGGTCTTACTGCTTCCTGGGTGCTGAGGAGGCCCATGCAGAGATGGGACTGACAGTGGATGAGCCAGTGTCATGTGTGAACTGGTATCAGTATTACAATGAGTGTCGTGCCGGGGAAATAAACCCACACAAAGGAGCAATTAATTTTGATAACATTGGATATGCATGGATTGCCATTTTTCAGGTGAATATCTGCAGGAATAATTTGCAGGAATACATCAATCAATCACCATCAGTTAATGATTATGATGACATGCGCACTTCACACCACTCTGATTACTGTTGGTTTGTGTGCATGTTTACATTCAGGTAATTACTCTTGAAGGTTGGGTAGACATCATGTACTATGTCATGGATGCACATTCCTTTTACAACTTCATCTACTTCATTTTCCTCATTATAGTAAGTACACACAGACACAAACACACATATACACGTTCAAACATTAAACTTGCTTAACAGCTAGTGTATGAAATGTATTATCTTGACCAGGTGGGCTCCTTCTTCATGATCAACCTGTGCCTGGTCGTCATCGCAACACAGTTTTCTGAAACGAAGCAGAGAGAACACGCCTTAATGAAATCGGAGCAGCGAGCCCGCCAACTCCACCAATCAGCTTCCACGCTGGCCAGCGACAGCCAACCAGGAAGCTGCTACGAGGAGATCATCCGCTACCTGGCACACCTGGGCCGTAAGGCGTGGAGACGACTGTCCCGTTTCTACGCTCAGAGACGCGCACGCTTTCACTGCGTGTGTGCGTGCCAGAAAGACCAGGGTGGTGCATCAGGCAGAGGGAGCGGAGTTGGGGAGATGAATGGACTCGCCCACCGGCACTCAGGCCACGCCCCCAATGACTTGTCACACCTTCATCAGCGTTTTCACCATCATCACCAGCATCATCATCATCACCAGCATCCACCTCAGCCTGAACCTGCTGTCAGTAACGGAGGGAACGGGTTTAATTATCCCTTCATCGCGCCCCTCTTCAGTCACCAGGATGCAAAGGGCCAAGGCCAGAAGAGGCAGGTTGCCACGGAGACCGTCAACAGGCTGCCACAGCTGGTGCTGGAGCATGGTGAGGACAGAGGTCTGTGAGAGTGTGTGAGTGTGTGCAGTCTCTCAAGGTCACAGCATCAGGCCGTGGGTTTCTTAGGGGTGATAAGGAGGTACAGGTTTTGAGCCCCTTATTATAGACTGGCCTCTCTGCACTCTAACACCGTTAGCAGTGTTGATTCTTCTGTCAGTTCATCCGGAGGACTAGAGAACATATTGTCCCACTTACCCTCAGCATATTTTAAACTTGCAGATCACTTCAGATTTATTAAGTCAAATTTTTAGATATCAATTTGTTGACTTTTGCCGCTTTAAAGACAGTGAAGGCAAATTTAATTTAGTCTTTGATGCTTAGAGCGTTATAAAAAAAGAGAAGCTTCAGCTTGCTACAGTCTGCACATTTTTAATGAATTGACAAGGCAAGCAGAATGCTAGAACTCTCTGCTGTATTTATACATTCATGTAATTAGTCACAAGACAACCCAGATGTGTATCTCGGATCCAAGATCACACTCAAGGGTATTGCAATCCTAATGCGTATTAGAGCAACAGAGATGACGGATAAGGGATGCAATGTATGGAGCAAATAAGAGGGAAGCACATTTAGAGCAGCTGCAAATTCCATAAACAATCATCCTACAAACAGTCATACATAAAACTAAAATCAAACTGATCCAAAACCTTTCTCTCTGACCTACATTTTTTATCCAGACCTCCTTCTCTGTGTGTGATTCCCTGAAACCCTGGTGGAGAGATTGGATGCAAATATTCATGAAAGTGACTCGCAACAAGATATTGATTGATTGATATATTTGTAAAACAATGTTTTCGGTTATGTTTTTTTCTTTTTGGGGTGGCACTGTGCACTGTTGCGACATAGGGAGTTGCTCAAAGCAGTATATAAATACATTAAAGAAACTCAGCAGCAGCAGAACTTCCCAGAGACAATGTCAGGTTCACCTGGATGAATCACATACCTTTTCTGAGATGACGAAATAGTTTAAAGAGTTCCTCATGAAATTGCAGTCCCATAAAATTGGCAGACTAAAAATATATGGTTACAATCTTTGCAGCAAAGGCCACAATAGCCTAACTTTTAATTCTGAGTATGTGTCATGTTCCAAAAACACAACACAACTCCACAGCCCAGTTATCTCCAAGTCCAAGCTGAAATAATCCTGATAATCCTGACATCATCGGGGGCTTTTTTTTTTTCAAAGCTCCTCAGTGTTTCAGAACACTTTATTCAACTGTTTTCACAGGCTGAATATTCAGCTACCACCACGATGGGTAAAGTGGCCTTTATATGTAAAATGGGTTAAGTAACAGGGAAAATTCATATCAATTTTTAATACAATTCTGTGGGAAATTCTAATTGTAGCTGGTGAGCAGAAATGATTCCCTATGTTGTTAAATGGCACAGCTCTAGATAAGCACATGTAGTAAGGGCAGTAATTTTCAGCAAGTCTGCTGTCCACATTATCTATAGACACACATCATAGAACGAACAGATTGGATTTACTGTCAGTCTCCAGTGAAATATGAATTTGTTGTAATTGTGATGACAAGTGAATTGCTCGTGCTAGATTAGTGTGTTTGTTGTTATGTCATTGGAGCATTCCTCCCGAGCGACTTGCTAATGAATTCTGCTGAAATCTAACCCCCCCAAAGCTCACACACACACACACACACACACACACACACACACACACACACACACA